GTGATATGACGCTCTATGACAATCAACATAAATAAGTATGCGTGTAAGACGTTAGCAAACCAGCCCTTTTGGCGCTTTGGCTGGGACCGTATGGTGAATGTTGGGGAGGGGATGGTGTCCCCGACGGTGGACGGACCACTTCAACTCGGTCCTTAAAACCGCCACAACTTAGTGCTCACCTAAGAACTAAGCCTTAAAGAGAGGACGGGTCCGTCCTCTCCCCAAGGCTTAGTACTGGGGTTAGCAAACCAGCCCTTCTGGCGGAGCTGCTGGACCAGCTGCACCACATGCGTCAGTACTCTCCTATCGTACCAACCGAGTTGAAGTAAACCGTCGACCGTTGGGGACCCCATCCCCTCCCCAACATTCAGCATACGGTCCCAGCCGAAACGCCAAAAGGGCTGGTTTGCTTACCTCGGGAAGGTCTCTCGCAGGTTACATTTGCTGGCTGTTACCCTAGATTTTTCTTTCCTTTGTCTTGTGAAACGGTGGGCACAGGCTCGCGACAACATAAGCAGCAATGTCTACCAGGTGCTAGGAGTTGTATAATCTTCCTAGGTAATTGTAGTAGCGTTGACCTTGAGTCACCTGTAGATGTTGCATTTAAAGCGTCATCACGTTTCACTATACGAATAAATGTGTGCTTTTGTTGTGGTCTTTGTGCTTGTTAAAAAGAATAGCGTTTGAACGCAGAAGTATTCTTCCTTTGTGAGTTCTGTGAAGCATTTCTCTTCCTTTACGATTGATTTGTAACTATAAGGCGTCGCCTTAAAGGCAGAATTCACGATGGAAAGCAACCCATTTCAGAATTAACTAGGGATGGTGAGTAGTACCAGAAAGAAAGAAGAAACCATGAGAAAACGGCCCAGAACCCGAGAAATGGGACCCCTTCCTTGCCCGTTGATTTGAGCATTGATGCGACTCTCATCGCTGTGCCCTCTTCAACACTACGCTCTCTCAGCTATCTAATCACTCGCCACGTATAGACCTTGCGGCGAGTGACTGGTTAGATGACCCGCCGAGATCCGCTGCCAAGAGCATGAGCCCTTATTAGGTTGCCGAGCGAGCCGGCAAATTTTCTATGGAGTGAAAGTTCGCGCGCATTCCGGCCACCCTCAGGAGGTCCGCCGATTAGCCTGCCGGTCTCTCAACTAGGTGAATTAGTCCTTCGACCGAGTTCATTCTAATCGTGGATTCCTCCTTTAAGCGACAGTGATGACTTGGAGTTATTGATTGATGTGAAGTTCGCAGGTATTCGTATTATTCAATAAGGTGAAATTTTCTGCGCAATGGTAGCACAACAATCACGTAAAGGTCAGTTAGTTCGTTTTCTTCTAATTGGCCATAGTTCGCAGAAGAGTTCCTGAAAATGGGGCTGGTGCTCTAGGTCACTGCACAAGAAGAACATAATGCCAGCGTACTCCCGGCAGTCACCGTGATCAGCCCCTCTCAAGACACGGGATTTGCCCAGAGGTCTCGTCGATGGGCAAACGCCCCCAGGGCAGATGCTGGCAAATCTGCACTTCAAAACTTTTTTCCACTTTTGCTTGACGTCATTGAAGTTACTGCTCTGATGAACATGCAAGAAATGAACCACTGAGCGGAGCAGATGGTAACTCGTAGGTGCCAAGCCCGACTGCAAGATGGATATGAAACACTTCAGCAATGAGGAATGTACGGAGATCTTCATGTATGTATTGTACTTTGGATGTTAACTGTAATCTGTCCCTGTAATCTATCCCCTCTCTACTAATGCAGTACAATTTTCACGATTTGGAACACATAGAAAGGACGCTAGATATTTGGCTTACACTGATGTACACCCCATATAACAACACCTGTCGAAGGTTGAATTATATATCTGCGTCTCACTTTTCTGCTATTCTCTCTCGTCTCCATGTCTGTTCCCACGCTTCGGCGCACACTGTCTATCAAACTGTCCCTCTTGTGAATACAACAAACTAAGAAGGAAAGTCTCTGTAGTATATCGAGTGGCCCTCACAAGACGAAGAGTTTCAAAAATCGCTTTCGAATGCCACTATGATTCTGAATAGAGGTGGGATGTGTTCGATGCCGCCTTGGTTCAAGGCATAGTGTTTTACACTTTGTGAATATTCATTGTAAAGGCACATTGATGAAGCACCGAATAAAATATTAAAGTGACAAGCCGAAGGTCATCAAAATCACAACCGCGAGAGTGAGGAAGAGAGGCAAAGACGGAGTGCAAATGAGCGGTGAGCTATTGAGGTTCCTTGTCCATGCAATGGTCGATATGAGGCTTTGAGTACACGTATATCCAAATAATGAGCAGTGTGGCAAGAGATATCGGAATCGCAACAATACCTGAAAATTCCCTTTTTTGTGGATAACTGGTAATAAACTTTATGATCGATTTAATACTTCGACTCTTTACTTCCCCTTGCTGACAATCTCACATAGGAATCAAGAAAGTCCACTTAAATAAATGAATGAAAAAATCGTATATAAATGCAAACCTGCGCTGACAAGTCCTGTTTGCAGCGTTAAAACAGTGGCGGCAACAGTTCCTGAAACATCCCAAGATCATCCAAATGGAGGAGCTACATCATCAAAATCACACCGAGGGAGGGCCCGCGACAAAAGGGCTTCAATTCTTATCATTCTAAGTAGTTCCAAAGAACGCTGGAGAGAAATGAAGGGGAACGCTTCTAGGAGAGCCATATTTTTATAGGAGTCACTTTGAATGAGCGGATCTCACAAGACACTGCAAGTGAGGGAATATGCGACCTTTTCGGCCGTTTGGGGTTTGAGAAAGGCCTAACACTACTGTGTGAGTCGCCTAGGGCGAGGGCTGAAGAGCCTTCTTCTAATCTCACTCTGGTACCTTTTCCTTGCATGTCTGTGTGGGACCTTCGCAGGTACGGGGACAAGTGAGAGGGGAGATGCTTTCGAATGAAGTCCCTGGTCGAGTCGGGTAAATGAAGGATAAGTTGGTGAATCACTCTTGCAACACGCCACAATATTCTAATTCTACTTTCACTTGAAATCTTCGTATAATGGTGAAAACGATTTAACCACGAAACAATTGACTTTCAGTCTATATTACAAGATAAAGTTTTGCTTACGCGCTTGGCGAGACTGGGAGATACTAACAGCTGGCCACTGGAAAGCTGGACGCCCTCTTCACTTCTCAACGCATTCAGCCAAAAAATTTGGCCCGACCAGTGATTGCTAAGAAGCCCTCCACCAAGAAATGCCCCAAACACGCACATCCGTTTGCCTACAACCGGCTTCATGCCAGGTCATGTCCACGACCAATTTTCACTTTCATAAGAGCAAGAATATCAACTCGGAACTTGCTGACTTCTGTTATACGATCCCGGTTAATCCAGTCAGAAAAAAAAACTTACCAGTAGGCGGCAGCTCCCAGACCGACACCGAGCAGGGCGCTGTCCCCGCAAGCAGTCATTGCTGAAGCACAACCGGTCACTTTTTTGGCCGCGTTCAGCCGTTTGTATCGTTCCAGTTCGGCCTAAACAGCTATGTACTTTCATAGCACGTAGGTAACAACACTTGCTTCACTTACATTGATGTCTTCTTGGAGCTTTTCGAGAAGACGATTTCTGGTCTCAGCAGAACCAAATTTTGGGCACTTGTCGTAGATGTTCAGTGCAGTGATGCCGTGCTTGATGTGAGCTTCAAGCAATCGCTTCTCGGGTAACATTCGCGAGCCCGTCATCGACTGAAATCAAAGAGGGTAATGCTGTTTCGGGTTAGTTCATGGCTCATGCTGCTTTTCACATGGTTCAAATCCGTTCACTTGTATTCATAAAACTGAAGCTGCCAAATGGGGAAAAACCCTCCTGAACTCTGGCGGAAATTTATCGCAAATGAATTGTATTCAAGATTTTTGTTCAAAGCTGCTTGATTTCACGTGACGATGAGAGTACTCGGGGAAAGCTTCGGAAGCAGAATCCAAGTTCTTAAAGCGCTTTCCCCGGCTATTTAACTGATATCTCGCTCCGATAGCATTTTGCCCAATAGCTCATTTCAGAGATTTTATTTATTTGTTATATTTATATCGTGCGCTCAAAACGAAAGAAAAGCAACAAACTTTGTGCATAGTATAAGAGGGGAACTTGTTCACATGAAACCACATATATACCAGATATCACATATAATTTTTACGAGAATCAGAAAGCTGGAAGGCTTTCAAATCAAAAACTGGTATCAACATATTACTGGGCTACATCTATCAAGACTGCTATGCGTTTTTGACTACAAAGAATGTCAAAAACGTAAAATAGTCAAAAACGCATAGCAACCTTGATAAAAAAAGGATAAAGGATAAAGCATTTGCCGTTGATCAATCCCTTTTTGGGATGCGGCACGCATTCTACTTCCATTTGTACATTCGCAGTGGCGTTTGAATGCGATGTGGCCTATACAATGACTTGCGGGGGCCAGCCGATGTACAAGTCAGTGTTTTTATCCTCCCAGACAAGTCTGGTACCAATTAACCGACCCCGGAGGGATGGAAGGCTTGGTTGGCCCGGGCGACTCACGACCCAGGATTTGATCCCCGGGACCGCTCGCGTGGTAAGCGCGCCAGCTTGTCACTACACCACTTCCGCCCTAGCAACCTTGATTAGAGCCAAACAACTTCAGGAAAAGCGTTGGTCACTCAATATTAGTGAATCGAAAGCGCAGCATTCAGAATACTCGCATCTGCATTCTGCATTTTCAACGGGACCTCACATTTGAAAGAGGACGGCACGCGCGTTGAGCTGAAATGTCTTACCCAAGCGTGTGTCAAATGGCTCCAGACTTTCTCTGCCTTTAGGCAACCAATTTCTTCAGAGGTTTTTCACTTGCGCTTTTGCCTTCAAGGTGCTACCACACACAGTAAAACCTAGACGACATTAGGAAGGTGCTTCGGCTAATAATTCCTTTGCAAGCTACAAACTCCGGAAATGAGAACACCGTCATGTGGTTTGCTCACAATTGAAAAGGATAAAAGGATAAAGCATTTGCCGTTGATCAATCCCTTTTTGGGATGCGGCACGCATTCTACTTCCATTTGTACATTCGTAGTGGCGTTTGAATGCGATGTGGCCTATACAATGACTTGCGGGGGCCAGCCGATGTACAAGTCAGTGTTTTTATCCTCCCAGACAAGTCTGGTACCAATTAACCGACCCCGGAGGGATGGAAGGCTTGGTTGGCCCATGACACGACCCAGATTTGATCCCGGACCGCGCACTGGTAAGCGTGCCACTCAACACTACACCACTTCCGCCCTTTTTCTAGCTGTCACTAGCTTTGAGAACTGACGGACGTTGATATTGAGTTCATAAGAGAAGAAGACATCGTTCCTCATCACTAGTGCACAGAAAAGAAGATGGAAGGAAAACTCAGAAAAAGTGGATATGAAAGCGCACTCGCTGCCGTCATAATTTTAGCCCACCTTCTAAATAAAGACCAGGGTGAGAAGGATTAGCGAAAACGATTAGCAATCAGTAATTTCGCTGATATGTAGGAATCAATCTGAACCCAATTCTCGATGGCAATGATCACCATGAAAATGTCTCATTAGCTGCTTAAAATCTGTGTCCAGATCAGGGCACGGCGTCATGCGAAAGCCTGCTGCGCATCGCGCACCTACGCGGATGTTGAAACAATTGTTTGAATGTGAGCCCAACAAGTTACCAATTTTTAGGCTGTCACGTCTAGATAACGACATAAATTCCATGAATGTAATATTAGTCGGCCGACATACTTCAAGGTACATTTATGTTACCAAAAGACAATATGATTAGGAAAATGGAAATGGGACGTAATTATGGTGCATGGCGATATCAAACACGTGCAAAAGTTACCCAGAAAAGAGCTTATTTAAAGGCAAGGGTAAGCGTCAGATTGATATGGTTATACCATTCATGCATGAAAGTAGGGTTCGAAGAGAACCGCAAGTAAAGAGAGAAAGAAAAGCAATCGTCAAAAACACAGGAATATGTACGAATCTCTTCGCTCTACGCTGCGGAAACGTCCAAGGAGTAGACAGAGAGATAAGAAACAATGTGATTCGCGGAGAGGGTAAAGAAGTGCGAGTCGAGAGAGCATAGCAGATCAACTTTAGGACAGAGAGAATATCGAGTGGTGGGCGGGCACGGATTGACCGGGCGTCAGCGGATCGAATTCGTTGACGTCTAGCGTAAGCCGTTGTCGCAACCTCTGCAGTTGTGGACCTAGTATCTCCACCCACGGAAGGGGCCTCTTCAGCGAGGTTGAGCCCGACATTTGCCTTTGCACTATCGAGACAAACAGGGTGGAATAGGTCTTTATTGATTCCAAATTGATGCGGTTTTATTAGAAGATCAGGCTCAGCTTTTACCCGAACTTTGCCGCCAATTGCAACGATGAAACGCTCTCTAATTCGTTATAGCA